TTTCCCTCAAAAGCACTCAAAGAGATGCTGACAGCTTTAAAGATGTATCCCCTCCTCCTTTCCGCTTCTCTTCCCCGCCTCCACCTCCTTTTCCACTCCCACTTGGACTTGAAATGTCTTCATTTCCTGGCATATGTTGGAAACCATAGCTCATTGAGGATAGTGGGTAGCAAAACTGAAAATTTCCTCACATAGCTACCAAGACTCCAAGGCTTATTTCCAAGCGCGAAAAAAAAAAAAAAAAGTGGTTTTCAGGTGTAACTTGGAGTTGTGTGAGTTTTCTGCAGACTATAATTACCATTCAATAATATGTCTCTGTTTTATGGTTGAAGCCAACTTTGATTTATAATCCCATAAAGGTAGATCAGTAGCTTTTCTTCCTGTTTTCTTTCTCTCGCTAACCTTTTTTTTTCTAAAATTTTTTCCTTAGAAGAATGTTTCCATGGAGAAAAGTGAGGAGGGGGTGATCTCTTTGTGCGTGTGTTTTTTTCTCTCCAACGTTTGAAAAATGGAGATGTGTAAAACAACGTCAGAGCAAAGAGAAGAATCAAATCGTTTTTAAGACACGCATTGCCTCCCTCTGAGTTACGGTATTCAGATAATACCATGTTGACTCTGAATTGTACCAGAGTACCTGTACGGGTCAAAAATCAGGAGAACTTGATTCTAGTCTTGACTGGGCTCTTAACTAGGGGGACACTTCGCTCAAGAAACTGCACTGCTCTGCGTCTTATTTGAAAGATGGTGGGATAGGAAGGATATTGAGTGTGTGGCAAGGAGGAGTGGAGAGGCTTTAGTTATCAAAGTGTTGGAGCGTCATTCAGGCATTGAGGAGATTGGGTTAAAATGCTCCATCCACATTTGCCTTAGGTTCTTGAATAACTGAAACATTGTTGAGTCCCGTCTACCCTCCAGACCCTTTGAGTTATTTTGATAATTTCCGTATCTCTGCATAGATTGAATGGACTCATGCAAGGATTACTGCAAGACCTTTAAAGGGAGATCTAATGGGATTTTATGGACTTTACTTAAATGGATTTTAATGGGATTTTCAGAAAAGGAAAATTAGTAAGTGAAAAGACGTTTATTATTTTTGGTCAGGATATTCTATACCGATGCTGATATCACTTTAAAAAGGAAAGTATTTTCTGCCTGCTGTGGACCCTTCTGAGGTTCCTCAATAAATTAACACAAGGTTCCCTGGGAGTCTGGTCTCTCCATCCTTCTCATGTCTTCCAGAGAAAGAAAAATATTTATTGTGTATTTTTTTGCCTCATTATTCTTTCTTTTTGATGAATGTATTAGTTGCATTCCTTGGACTTGCAAGGAGGAGCCGTGCCCAGATCAGCTTTAACAGAGGCTTATTTCAGGCTAGGCGGAAACATGGGCTGGCACACAATGCTTCCTCTTCCTCAGCGGTGCAGTCTGTCTGAGTGGAAAGTATGCAGCTGGTCACAAAAACCACCTACCATTCCTGGGGGTTCAGCCTAGGCTCCGTCTAGGACTTGGTCGTCTCCAGAGAGAGGATGTGAGTGGGTGGACCTGGGTCGTCTCATCGTGGTGCTCAAGGACTAGGCAGGTCTGGCCAGCCCCTCCGTGACACGTGACCTTCCTCATGTGCAGTCGGCTGCTGATCCTGAGCTCCGTCAGTCACGGCTGGCTTAGCAAGGATGGCTCATCAGATGCACGCAGCATGAGCTAAGTCACCCACACTCAGAAAGAACCCTCTCTGGGGCTGCTTTCCTCCGAGGGGGGCAGTGGGTGTGGGCAGCTTCTCAGAGTTTTATGGACTTTTCAGTGCACTGAGTTATTAACTCTTGTGTTAACTTTGAAAATTACATCAGAGCAGCAAGGACTCTTATGAGCAGACTTTCTTTTTTTATTGTTTGTTTGTTTGTTTTATGGTACGCGGACCTCTCACTGTTGTGGCCTCTCCCGTTGCGGAGCACAGACTCCGGACGCGCAGCCCCAGCGGCCATGGCTGACAGGCCCAGCCGCTCCGCGGCATGTGGGGTCTTCCCGGACCGGGGCACGAACCCGTGTCCCCTGCATTGGCAGGTGGACTCTCAACCACTGCGCCACCAGGGAAGCCCAAGCAGACTTTCTTGATAGTAAGAACATGAGAAAACTGAGGCTCGATTCCCTCAGAAGCAGAGCAGCCTCTGCTGTTAGTCATCCAGGTGTTTAGTTCACAGTGGCTGTTTATTGAGTAACACCAGGGGTGGGCCTTGGCCAGGGACAGTGCTTAATGGGATCACCACTGGTTGGCTGTCTTTAGTGTCAGGAGAGCCTTCCTGTGCCAGGCCTGAGACTTCAGAGGACTATGCTGTATGTGAAAGAGATCCTCCTGGTGGGGATTTCAATTTATACCTTTTCTCTGGTATAGAAGAATAGCTCTCAACCCTAGGGTCACATCCCAGTCACCTGAAATGTTTGTTAAAAGCTACAGATTACTGGGCCTCACGTGAGCTTAGACCCATCATACGAATGACTCCAAAGAGTTGGAGCCCTGGCATCTGGAGTTTTTAAAAAAACATACAAACCAGACTTTCACTTTTTGGATGGGTGTATTTTTCTCTATTCTTCCTGCTAAAGTACAACTGAAAACCCTGGACATTATCTGTAAAACAAACGTAAAGGTGGGGCAAGGCAGACTGTCTGGGGACGCATGGCATCACGCAGCCATGAGCTCCCTGAGGTTAGTTTTAATCTCATACATCCCAGACTCGGAGCCGAAGAAGCCTGCAGCCTGGATATGGCACAGAACCCCAACAAAGCCTGCTCTCTCTCTAGCCAAAGGAGGAGGGAAGGGACGGCATAGCAAGGCAGAAAACTTCCAGCCAGACAACACAGAAAAACGGGCTCCCCACCACCCAGGCCAGCAAAGACCGTGAGTGGGAAGCCTAGACTTCCCCTTTGCCAGGAGTAACAAGGGATTCCAGGCTCTCCAGCTAAGAGGAGTGCAGGGACTTTCACCCCTTCCAGCTGGTAATGAGCCCCCTACCCCCTTTCTCTTCCATGGGGAGCTGAGTGTGTTCTTCCCCAGGTGTCCTGAACAGCACTGCCCCTGTGACAAAGGCCAGTGAAGGTGGAGCAGAATCCTCTGTCCCTGCACCTACGGCTGGGACCTGAGGGCATGTGGTGGCTGCTTCTCCAACATGTTGGGGTGCTACTGGCCTCATCAAGCATCTGGGGTCGCCAGTACTGCCCCAGAATCCTCTCCCCCCACCTTCCTACATCCTCATTCCTGTCCTCATCCCCAGCTGCTTAGGGATCTGTCTCCTTTGTGTTCACAGAAAGTTAGGTTCAAAGCCAGATGAGTATCCTCTTATTGGCGGCTGTAAATGTACTAGTTAGCTTGCCAGGCTTGTGTGCAGCCTTTTCTCCCGCTCTTTAAGGGAGGGAGGCTGGGGTCCACATATCATTTGCAGTTGATGGCATCATTCAGTCTCTATGACCCCTTCTCCCTTTTGTTCTCCCTGCCTCTCCTGTTCCTCTGGAGTAATGTATGATCTTTTATTTTTCCTTGGTGATTTCTCCATGAAAGTATGATTTAGATTGCAGTCTCCTGAGACCCCTTGGCCCCTGCCTACCCTCTGCACCCGTGAGAGACACTCTCCTAAAGTGCTTGAAGGAAACTGATCAGACCAGATACTTGACATTTTCCACTTGTTCTTTTGGAGCAGTCGACTCCGGGCCTCTTAGAGGGAACAAGGCCAGAAGCAAATGCATGTGTTTGTATAAGCATTAGTAGCTCAATGTGTGCCCTGGTTCTGTAGCTGAGGACAAGCCTAACTTATTCATTTACAGCTTCTTTTATTGCAGAAAAAGGAGTGGACGTGGGATGAGAGCAAGATGCTGGTGATGCAGGACCCTATCTACAGGTAAGAGCCCAGTCCCCAGGGTACACCTGTCCTCTCTGGGAGCCATCTGTTGGGTTGGTGGGGCCAGACAAATTAAAATAAATTTCTCCTTTTTCCCTCCTGAGACCTGTTGTTTCTGTAGATGTAAGTACAAGGAGCAAATCTGCCCTATCTTTAAGAAAGAGAGGAAAATTCTTCTAATGCTCAGTAGCACTAAGGGAACTGTGAAGGATTTCTGCTTGATGTTTAATGCAAGTCTTTAAGTTGTCACTTGAGACCTTTTCATTTTGCGCTAGTTTTATTTTAACTGAAATTTCTTTTTTTTTCACTTTTTTTTTATTTAACTGAAATTTCATAATTGCATATATGTTGATAAAAATGAGAGAACTGAGTTTTCCCATTACGCTGTACTTATAAATTCCCCACAGTTATCTGTTCTTCCTTTCTGCCCCTTCAGAAACTGAGCATAGATAAGGGGGTTATGATCATTTGAGACAGCAGAAAGTCACATATAAAATCCATAGAAATTGCTTTTACAATGAGACTGGTATTCCTGTTCAGATTAGAGGACTGCCGTTCATGTGTACTCTCTGGGCAGAGGTATACCTGATAGCAATACATACACAAAGCCAGGGCCCTCCTGGGACCCACGCAGGGCCTTGATTCATCTGTGTCATTCTTCTGTCCTAAATCTCTGCTGACCAAGCCCTATCCCACCTCTTACTCCTTCCTGTTTTCTTCACTGGCCGGGGGGGGGG